GAACACTGCTCGGCAGCTCGGCAGCTCGGCAGCTCGGAGCTTCTTCTCCTCGTCCCTGCTCCAAGACTTGACCAGCGCTCAGTGGGTTACGTGCCACTCACGTTCAGGCCGTGATCTATCTCCTGTCCGATACACCTTCGGTGTTTGACAACTCGGATACTCCCATCTCTAGCACGATGACCGTCTTGGTCCAGTGCTTCCGCCAGTAGCGTTTCAGTCCCCTAGCAAAGGTGGGCCCATGACTCACCAACGCTCCATCAGGAGACGTGCGCATAGCGCCCAAGGTAGTCGTTCCATGGCTCATGGTGTTTCAGCCATGCCATAAAGGATAGGGTCATACCTTAAATTCAAGTCTAAGACTAAGCAGCGTTCTACGCTATCGAACTCAAGAAACTTAACACATAGACCTTCGACACCGTGACACATGTCCCCGTCGCTATGCGAACAGTGGCGATGTACTCCACCGCGCCTTCAGCGCCTCAGCATACAGCCGAGTTCCTTTGATTGTGTAGCGTCGAGCATATTTGTCCGACGCCCCGGAGTCGATCAAGATCTTCCATGGCTTCTTTAAGCACTCCACGAACGCGTCCCGACCGGCAGGCTTGGCTTGCATACACGTTCCGCGTTCAAAAGCACGGAGCTCTTCGGGGCTGAGTTCAGCAAATATCTTTCTCCTTGAGACTTAACAGAATTCAGTTCTTCCCCAGTAGGTCGCCCCGCACCTACTGGTTGTTGTCGTTTCCCGGCAACAATCCAGAAGTCTTGTAAGAAGTGGATCATCAGTTCGATGAACCTTGACGTGTCTTGAGCAAGGGGGACAGATGAGGAAAAACATATCGCAAAAAAGAGCAGTGCTCGAGTGCATGCGCACTTATAAGCTGAATGCTAATGCAGATAAGTGCATCTCCGATGCGGAAGAAATTTCCTTTTTATTGTGCTTCATTGGGAAGCGTGGCCTTCGAGGCGATTCCGCTACGATCAAGGTCATTGTGAACTGGTCGGTTTGAAAGAAATAAAGGACTTGCGCAAGTGGCTAGGTCTCACCAACTACTTGCGCAAGTATAGCGCAAATTATGCGGAAATAGCACGGCCATTGTCCAACCTCGTTAGAAAAGATAAGAAATGGTGTTGGAAAACCGAGCATCGGAGGCTTTTGACAGGGTCGTAAACAGACTCTTCATGCACCAATACTGGCGTTGCCATACCCCGATCGTCCTTTAAGAGTCGTCTGTGACGCTTCGGACTTTGCCATCGGCTGTGCAGTGCTGCAAGCAGAAGCCGAGGGGCGAGATCGGGTGATCGCGTTCGAATCTCGCCAGCATAAGGCGGCGTATAGTAACTACCCAGTCCACGACAGGAAATTACTTGCGGTGAGTATGCTCTTGTCAAGTTCAGGGTGCACCTGCTTGGATCAAAACCGTTTGTGATCTACACAGATCATGCGTCATTACGCACTGCGACTCACTCGCCTCACCT